ACCTTCTGCAAAGAAGACTCACTAGGCTGCAAGAACAGACAAATGCATCTGTCAATTGAGCCTCATCATATGCGCTCCATCAGCGTGGCGCTGGAGGAGTCCCCTACATGTTTAATTTCTTCCAGCACCATAAGTGCCGTGATAGGTCTTATCAGGATCATATTGACTGCACAAAATGAGACATGGTGTGGAGCGGTTTTCTTGATGGGAAAGACATTAAAAGCACACACCAGGAGCCCATTTAACAGGTTTCTAATAATATCATCTTATATCGACATCACATTTTCATTCCTAACAACTTCAGTCCTGGTGTGTACACACCAATTACTCATCCTCCTCCAAGACGCAGTGGCTGGGTTTAGGGCTGCAGGTAGAACAAAGGTAGGACTTCCTGAGCACGTGGACTGGTTGGCATGAGGATCAAGAGTCTCCCTGGAGAGACCTCCCTGGTGGCACAAGAGGTTAAGATACAACCTATGAAGCTATCCGCAGCCATTGCAGCATGAGTTTGATCCCCGGCCAGGGAGATACCCACATTGCACAGCAGACCTCTTTTGTCTCACACACTGCTCCCCTCAGCAATGTATTTCAGTCAGTCTGCCTGTTCTGTTCCCTGCTCTGTCTCTGGTCAATCCTCTCACTCACCCCCACACCTCTGGCCTGTACCCCAGTTCTTGTATGCATAAATAAATAAATCTTTAAAAAAAAAAATAAAAGAGTCTCCCTGGTGAATACTGACTGATAGAGAAGCCACCAAAATAGACCATGTCCCAGCATGGTTGTTCCTGGGACAGAGAGACTCCAGATGATTTTGGCAGGGAGCATGGGGCATAATTATCAGGTGTGATGTGCAGCCTCACCAGAGGACTCAGGACCTTCTCCAGGTTCCTCAGATGTTTTCTAGCACATATGCAGAATAAATCAAACAGATTTTTAATTTTTGTTCTAATATGTGGAACAGGTCTTCCTGGTTGGCACTATGAAGCTATCCACAGCCACTGCAGCACGAGTTCGACCCCCGGCCAGGGAAGTGAACCATATGGTGCAGAGACCACTCCTGTCTCATGTGCTGCTCCCCTCAGCAGCGTATTTCAGCAGATCCGCCTGTGCTGCTCCCCACTCTCTCTCTGGTGAATCCTCTCACCCGCCCCCACACCTCTGGCCTGTACCCCCGTTCTTGTATGCATAAATAAATAAATCCTTTTAAAAATGTGGAACAGAGAGGCACTTATGTGTTTATGTATTCATTATTAAATGTTTACTGAATACCACTGAAGGGCCCAGCCCTGCTCTCAGGATGACCCTGGGCTGGAGAGGAAGAAGCATGGAAACAAACCTGCACGGGGCATGCTAAGACCTGCTACCAACAGCGCGGCGGTGGCACACAGGAAGAAATGGCCTCCTCTGCCACCTGGAAGGAAAGAGGAAGCAAACAGTAGGCCCTGAATTTTGCCAAGGGGAAGGCCAACCTGGCCCAAGAACATTGGTTGACATTTTCCAGAGAGAAAATGGAGTTAACGCATGAAGAAAGGCACAGAGGGATGACGTGTGACATGTATAGGAAACAGCCCATGTTTCCTACAGTCTGGAAAAAGATTTTGAGGTGAGAAACAACTGGAGATGACAAAGCAGCACAGAGGGTCCCAGTTGTGTGGTGTCCAGAGAAGACAGCACTGGGATCACCCCAAAATCAATGTGAAGCGATTAAATGTCTAACCAGTGCTCAGGATGACCATCCACTCCGCCCAGCTCGCCATGTCATGGATACAGAGATAGAGGAGACCAGAGTGGGTGTGTGTCTTCCAGAGAATACACACATTGCAGGAACTAGGGATCCAGCAATGTACACACTGCTGGGGTCTGGGTAAGGCAGATGTGCTGTGCGTCTAAGAAAAGTCAAGGGCATGGGCTATGGCAGAAAATTGTGTGTGTGTGTGTTTGGCTGTGATGTAACATGGTCCATTGTGTGCAAAGTCCTTGTTGTGCATACATAATTGTGTGCTTGAATGTGTGTATATTTGTGAGCATGATGTACTATGGTAGCATATGTACATTTGTGTGAGTTTAATGTGACGTTTCTAAGTGTGGACATGTTCTAAGTGTGTTTGTGACTCTGTGAGTGTGTGTGTGTGTGAATAATATGGCCATAAGTCTGTGTGCATCTGTGACCATGGTGCACTGTATGTACATGTGTGTGAGCATGGTGCTATGTGTGTACACTTGTTTATGTGAGTGTGATGTGTGAATGTGTGTGAGTGTATGTGGTGAGAACATTCTTGGAAAGAGGACCGGCTGAAGAAGGGCAGGGAGATGAAAATGGGTGTTGGCAGACAGTCTAGCTGCACCACAATGAAATAAAGAACCAGTGAAAAGCTCTATTTTTGCTCAGCAGTTTCTCCCACTATAGATGGAGTCAACACTCACCCTGGAATTCCTAAAGCTCATGCAGAAACAGGGGGCATGACCTGCTGAAAGAAAAAGTCCAGCATGAAACGGCAGCTCCTGGTTTTGAAGCAAATATGCCTTTACCTTGCTCCTGAAGAAACAGACTAATTTGATTTTCTTTGAAGACTACAAGGCTGGGGAGAGGCTCTCGGGAGAGGATCACGTCCCTCAGTAATGCAGGACTTAAGCCCGTGTGGGTGGTTTTAAGAAAGAGTGACATGTCCTGGCAGTTTGCTGGAGGGGTCAATGAGAAGCTCAGCTTGGGGAGCAGGCACCCATAAAGTCTCCTGAACAGGAGGAGGGCAGGGCAGGGAGAAGGCGATTGCCAAGGCCTGCACTATTTTTACCCCAATAGAAAACACAGGCCAGTGTCTTCAGGGAGGTGTTTCATTTGACACAGTAAATGAGTTTGGTGCTCTTAATAGAGAGGGTGCCCAGTTATTTGAAATCAATCCAAGGGTATTGTATGAAGTCGTGTTTCTTAAAAATACTTGACATTTGGCTTCTCTGCTGAACCAGAGGCGGTGTGGGTTGCTGGAGGGCTGGCTGTGAAAGGGCACGGGTGCAATTCAGTATGGGCATGAGGATGCCCCCAGCACAGGGAAATCAAAAGCACATTCAGCAGGCCAGCCTGGGCTGATGCCTAGCACCCTGTGGAGAGAGAGAGAGTCAAGAAAGGGGACAGGAGAAGGGGCTTGGAGAGAAGGCATCCAGGCGAGATGGCTCAACATAAAGATTTGTTCGCCATCTTCCCTTGAAAGGGTCTGTCACCACCCCCACTTAGACAGCTTTGTCTCTGATTAATGGTAGCACCCCACAAACACACATACACACACACTACCTGGTAAATTACTTAAGTTAAAATGAATATTTTTTTTCCTTAGAAAAGAAATAATCATTAGACTCAGCATCAAAACTGGAATATAGGCTCCGGTGATATAATAATAATAATTTGTACTCACACAGATTCTTTCAAGCAAAGGTCTTAGAAGCTTTGCCAAACATTAATTAATTAAGCCTTTCAGATTCCCCCCCAGGTGGCTGGTATTTATTATCTCAGCTTTCCAGATGTGGAAACTGAGTCTCAGGGAGGAGAAAGTGATTTGTCCAAGGTCACTCTGGGGATAAGAGGCAGGATAGAGATTGCAAAATCTGCCACATACCCAGAGTTAGAGGGGCTTACTGCAGCTTCTTCTGGGGTGGGAGGAGGGTTAGGGTGCATGGGCTCTGTGGCAGGGGTGCCAGGTCTGCAGAACAGGGAACTAGCAATGATGCCTGATGTACATGCTGGGCTGAGAGAATTCCAGTCCAGCAAACATGTCTAAAGTGACAAGGAGAGGGTCCCCAAGACATCTATTTTCATTTGCAAGATTCAGGCTGCTGGTGATTAGGTAGAGCTCTGCTAAAATTCGGAAATGAGGAGAAGTGGTTAGGGAAGACATGATTGCATCATGTTCTAGAAAGCTCCATGGAACACTTTTCATGGGATTATTTATTCCTAACCTCTGCATCGGGCTTCTGCAGAGCCTAAAAATAAGATGCACAAAGAAAAGGGAGTGTGAAGGTGAAATTCATATGGGAAGAGGGCTTCAGATAGGTCTCCCGTATGGCTGCCGAGTCTCCTGACTCCCTCACCATGAAGTGCCCTCTGCTCTGCCTGGCCTCCTTTGGAATTTGGTGGGAAGGCTGTTTGCAGTAGAGCAGTGGAACCCGAACCTCTCTGCCTCCACGCCTGGTTTAGCAGCTGACAAATACCATCAGTAAATTCCCCACCCTTCCCCCCACCCTCCCATCTTGGGTGCTGCTGACATATTTTGATATTTCCTCCTGAGATTATACTTCACATAATGAATTTCATTCTTCAATTCTTTCTCTCTTCCCCTCCAAACTCTGCAGCTTCTGAGAGTTTATCTGCTGCGAGATGAATCGCCAGAGACTCCTGGTGCATCTTTCTTTACACTTCACCTCCCCCACTACAGATGAGAAATAGACTTTTCCCTCATCCATCATAAGTCAGCATGACAGGGCTGTCGCTCCCCAGGCCGGGCTCACTGCATCATCCTTCTCTCTGTCCTGCTTCAGTGCATGACCTGCTTTCTTGGGAACAGTCAAGACCTTTAGAAAAGACTTTAAATTATAGCAGAGCCAGACCCCCAAAAATAAATAAACATAATAAGAGGGAGAACTATGACTTAAAAATAATGAAAGAGAAAGTTATTTCCAAAATTATTTTCACCGTGGAATTTTCTCCGTATAAATAGAATGTTGTGAAATTCTAATCAATCCAGTCTTTTTCCTGACATGTTATCAATCTTCGAGTGTCCCTCAAGGGTAAAGGGTGAATCCTATTTGCCTGATTTTACAGATTGGGAAAATGAGACAAAAGGAGGTGAAGAAGGAGGTTATAAAGGCAGTCCAAAGGAATCAGGTGAGGGGAAGTGAAGGGCAGGGGTGCTGTGGTGATGGCTCCTGTGTGATGGCATCATGAATATGAGTAGGACACTGACTCATTGTTGCATCACTCCACCTCTGCCTGGCCCCCAATGGGAACTGAAGGAATAAAAATAGATTCAGATTTGAACAGAGGAAAGATTCATTTGTAATGCTGATGCCGAAGGCCACGGCCTGGATACAAAGAGATGGAGGTCCCAGGCCAAGTTAGGATGAACCAGTGAAATGGACTAAGATCCATATTTAGTTTTTCTGGGTAAGAGGGGGCAGAGCCGACTCCCTGGTTAAATCTCAGCAGTATCAGGCCTCCCCTGGTGGCGCAGCAGTTGAGCACTGGGCTGTGAAGCTGCCCACTGCCTCTGCAGTGCCAGTTCGATCCCTGGCCCCCGGTGAGAGTCCCACATGGTGCACAGACCTCTCCTGCCGCGCCCGCTGCTCCCCTCAGCAGTGTATTTCGTCGGTCTGCCTGTTCTGCTCCCTGCTCTGGCTCGGGTGAATTCTCTCACCCTCGCGCTTCTGACTGTACCCAGTGCTTGCATAAATAAATAAATAAATCTTTAAAAAAATAAAAATCTCAGCACTATCACCCCTATGACCTGTGTCCGATTCCCGGCCAGGGAGCTAACCCACATATGGTGCAGCAGACCTCTCCTGTCTCACCCGCTGCGCCCCTCAGCAGTGTATTTCAGTCAGTCTGACTGTTCTGTTCCCAGCTCTGTCTCTGATGAATCCTCTCACCTCCCCACCCCTGCACCTCTGGCCTACACCCCAGTTCTCCTATGCATAAATAAATTAATAAATCTTAAAAAAAAGATGGGGGGCAGAGGACATAGCTCTAAAATGAGAGGTCCAGCTAGAAGATTTTTAAGGTCTTGCCAAATGCTTAGATTCTTTGACTTTAATGTTTACAGGGTTCTGGACCACGTTACCAAGGAGAGTTAAAGAAAGCTGTTTTATGGGAGATTTAAAAATCAAAATAAGCATCTGTTGCTTACTTCCGTTGTGGAAAGATTTTGATGAAGGATTCGCTACAATCTAGGACGAGCTCTGAAGGAGTCCAGATGGTCGGCCAGTGGCCATCTGCGTGGCCGAGACGGCAGCAGCCTTCTCTTACCAGGACAGGGTGAGAGAGCAGCCTTGTCGAACCGTGTCACCAAACCCCCAGCAGATGGGTCAGAGGAGGTGACCGCTGCGCTGTAGTGTATGATAATGGAGCCTCTGCTGATTGGGAGACCACGCCTGGGCAAGAGCTGGGCGGGCATGGGGATGTTCCCGGGTCTGTGGTTAGGAAAGTGGTCTCAGCTTTCCTGCTGGGGCTGGTCTTGTCTCCATGAGTCCCTGAAAGCCCCACCCACTGTGCTATCACTCTTTTCTCGTGGATAGCATGGGCAGGGTGAACCTTTGCTTCCAAATGTTATTGGAAGATTTAATTAAGCACCATTTGAAATTTTTGAATGAAAATTGCCACATTAGTCATGATTATTATCCATTTTCTTTAAACATAGGGCCAACTGCTAAGCTGTTAGGCACAAGCATGGAAATTACAAAAATATTCAAATATCCATTATCTGGGACTCTGTTTGCCAAGCATCCTATCTAATCAGGGGAAGCCTGCTGGAACAGATGGGCGCTACTCTGTGCCCTATAAGCTGGGAAACTTGGACATGTTAGGACGGTGTGAATCAAAGCGCCAAATGTTGCCGCCACTACAAAGAACTCATTTTCTACTCGCAAAAGACTGACCGTGCTTGTTCTGTTCAAAGATTGCACCTTTGGCACCTGCAGCAAGTCCTCTAACCACTCCTACACTTTACCAGGAAGGAGAACATTGACATTCCTGAGAGACAAAGACCCAGGGTCAGATTGCATGTAGCAGGGAATCTTGCCCAGCTATTTCGAGGTGACTGGAACCATCAGCTTAAGGGGCACAGTGAAGACAGCACAGGCTTTAAGGAGAGGGCTGTTTGAAGCTGCTAATGCAGGTGCTTAAACACAGAAAAAGTGCCTTCATTTCAACTTTATATTTATGAGTAGTTTACAGAAAGCTTTCCAGCCAAAGGAAACAAAATTGGTAAACACAGTAAGTAATAGATTCAACAAATAGCGCTAAAGATAAAGAACTAATTTACATTTAATGAGACAGCGATTGTTTATTAAATAAGAAATGGTTGTGTTTATGAAGATGGCCTTAAAGGTTTTTCAGGAAGAATACATTAAGCCTTGAACATAGCTTTTCATATTCAAAAGATGTGATTTGAAGAAAGGGGGAAGGGAAGAGGCAGCAGAATGAATGAAGACTGTAGAAAGCTGATAACTTCTGGAATATAGGGCACCAGACACAAATTTAATGGAAAATAAATTCCACAAAAGTTTCTCTTCCTTGGACGTTATACCACAGGCTGACTCCACAGTACTGATTTAAAAAAATAAAATAGTATATTATTACCAGAGAATTTATGGCATGTTGGAACATATATTCTGGCCTTGACCTGATATAATGGATTTTTGAATCAAAATTCTTCCACACTGTGACTAAGGGATATATGTTAGTGGCAGCTATCGCTGTAATTTCTAAGTGAGGAAAACTAGGGTGTTCCATGGAAAACACTGGAAAACTTCTTGGCCTCCTAGCAAGATAAAACCAAGTAGAAAGTGTGACATGATAGCAAAGTCACTTTTGTCTATGATTGCAGAGACCAGCTGGGTCACAGGATTTGTCTGAGACTTTTACCTGAAGGCTCTCTTTGAGACCTGTGGGATAGCAATTGTGCTCGTACATTTTGGGGGACAAATTATTTTTTCGCTTCTTGTTTCATATCTTAAATAGCACCGTATAAAGAATCGGAACACCCAAATGTGTGTACTGATGGGCCACTACTTAGCTGTGGCAGAAAATTCTAGTTTTCATCAGCATCTTGTTTTCCTGTTCTAATAGCTAGACTACATTTCTCAGGGACTTGAACAGTTAGGTTTGCACGTGACACTATTCTCTAACCAGTGGAATGAGAGTATAAGTGATATGAACAACATTCAGGTCATGCCTTTAGAAGGAATGAATGTGCAATACCCTCATTCCCTTTTTCTTTCCTGCTCTTTGGATTACAATGTGATGGCAAGTGCCAGAGCAGCCATTTTGAAATCAGAGTCACAAGTTGTGGCTGTCAGGTTCTCCTAAACCGTCTACCTACTTGAAAGCAAAATGCATTTCTACCTTGATTGAGCCACCGTATTTTGAGAAGTTTTATTAAAGCATCTTAGCTTACTTTTGACTAAGAGAGAACTTAATTACAACAGTGCTTGAAACTAAGATACCATTTTACACATTTTCCTTCAGTATTTAAACAGAATATTTTTAAGGTCCAAGTCTGTATTTAATAAATTGAGATTGTCAAGCACCCACACTATATTCTTCCCATGGACATTACAGAGAAGCATAACAGAAAAAGATAGGAGAAGCAAAGCAGTACTTTTAAATGTGAGAAAAGAAAGCCCATTCATCACTTTACCAAAGAACTGTCAGGAAAGAGATCAAACCTGTGTGGAACATGAGGTTTGTTATTTGTAACAGACATATGCTTCACTAAAGAGAATAAGAAGAAAAGTTTTACATCAGACCATTGGGCACTGGCCTGCAAATGTACAAAACTGGAGGTTAGCTTAGCAAGAGAAATTCAAGTCAGCCAGAAGAAATACTGGTAATGTGAAATAATCCCATATAACAATCTTTATTCTGGCTCCTGTATTGCCTATCCTGATATATATTTCAAAGTTAGCCCTTCAATTATATATTTTTTTTAAAAGATTTTTTTTTTTTATTTATACAAGAACCGGGGTATAGGCCAGATGTGGGGGAAGATGAGAGGATTCACCAGAGACAGCGGGGAACAGAACAGGCAGACTGATGCCTGTTCACTGCTGAGGGGAGCAGCGGGCAAGACAGGAGAGGTCTGCTCACCATGTGGGTTGCTCCAAGGCCCGCGGGGATCAAACTGCCACTGCATAGGCTGCAGACAGCTTCAGAGTGCTGCGCTCAACCGCCTGCGCCACTAGGGAGGCCCTTCAATTATATTTTGAATTTATTTTATTGAGAAAATGTTCAAGAATGCACCAAAAAAGACAAAATAAGCCCTATGCATCCAACATTCAAATTATAAAATTATCAGGATTCTGCCACATCTGTTTGTTTGTTGTTTTTTTTTTTTTCACATTTTTATTATTTTTCTTTTTCTGGGAGAGCATGAATCACAGACACATATAATGATACATCAAAAGCCTGAATTCTCTTTCCAATAGACTTAAGTTCTAATAGCATTTTCACGGTACTTATAGAATCCTGAGGAGGGGAGGGAACAGCTTGTGTCCCCCTCAGAAACCAATATCATGTCCAGCAACCCCGATTGCCCTGGCCTGACCTTCTACTCTTCAGGCAAAGGAAGAGACTCCTTGGATTATTAGCAAAGGGTATTCTAAAACTCTCCTTATTAGCAATTGGTATTCTAGAACTTTTATTTTTTTATTTTTTATTTTTTAAAGATTTATCTATCCATGCACACAAGAGCTGGGGCACAGGCCAGAAGTGTGGGGTGGGGGGCGGGTGAGAGGATTCACGAGAGACAGAGTGGGGATCAGAACAGGAAGATCAACCAAAGTACACTGCTGAGGGGAGCTGGGGGCGAGGCAGAAGAGGTCTGCTGTGCCATGTGGGTAGCTCCCTGGCTGGCTGGGAATCGAACTTGTGCTGCAGAGGTTGAGAACAGCCTCACAGGTTGCATCCCAAATACTTGCGCCACCAGGGAGGCCCCTAAAACTGTTTTAATGCTAAGATAGGCGTAGACACAAAAGCAGAAGAAATCTTGGCAAATAAACAAAACAGATTTGCAGTTTTAGAAAAAGAAATGAGGCAGCCCACACTTCAAAACTTTCAAGATAATAAGTTCAGTAGCATTTTTGTATGAAACTCTGAGGGTTAGGGAACACACCTTTCTATCCCACGGTTCTCCAACAACTTGAATATCCATGGGCTGCCGACATTATGGCTCTTTCCTGTCCCTATGCCTATCTACCTGAGTGGGGCTGTCGGGGGGGCAGGTGGCTGCGCAAAGAGTGAGGGGTTCATAGGCTGGCACCAGGGAGGATGGTGGAGGACTCTGTTCTGCTACCAAGGCAGCAGGGAGAGGGATGGGGCAACTGAAAGGGTGGTTCCAGCCCAGCCCAGGCCTGTGCATTGAATGGTTTCTGTCTCAAAGATCCTGGCCTGAGAGGGTCAAGTCTCAGTGCACAAAAGGCTCTGCACATTCTGCAGGGCAGTCCTTGCTTGTACAGGACCACACAGAGCTTGTCCACAGAGGACAGGAGGGGATGGGACATCATTGGTGTGAGCTTTTTTCTCTTCAGCCAGTGGCTTTAAATGGTAACAACATTACTACCAGTCCAAAGCAAAGACCCATACACACTTCTGTGTGTTATAGAATCAATAAAACGTGATCAAATTAAATGAAAAATGTGCCTTCCAGGTGGAAGATACATCTATTATAGTTTTAGGTGAGAAAGCCTGGTTTTCTGGAAAGGAGGGCTTTTGGGCATGGAAAGGCTGGAAGGTCTTGACACTCTTATTCAGTTATGATGACAGAAGGAGCCAAATCCTCTCCATGACTGTGACAAAGGACTCTCATGCGCCTTGTACTTTCAAAGGAGGGGCTTGATGCACAAGAAGGTGAAGTGGCTTTCCAAAGGTCAGGGGGTCAATGATAAGATGGAGCTAATGATTTGGACTCTCTGAACCTTGCTCTCCTTTTTCAATCCTCTGAGTCATATTACCCAATTCACAAAACAACTCAATGGCCGCAAAGCATCCCTCAGCCAAAGCATCCCTCAGTATCAGCAGCACCAGTCACCCTACTGTAAGGATAACTTTCTGCTTCCTCCCTGATATCAGTAGCTTCACTGGAGAAAAAAGATTCACCTGAAAATTTGCTTCAAGAAAAGCAGTTGGGGGACTCCCTGGTGGCACAAGGGTTGAGCACAGCACTGTGAAGCTATCCTCAGCTTCTGCAGCGCCAGCCAGGGAGAAACCCACATGGCGCAGTACACCTCTCCTGTCTTGCCCGCTGCTCTCCTCAGCAGTGTATTTCAGTCAGTCTACCTGTTCTGCTCCCTGCTCTGTCTCTGGTGAATCCTCTCACACCCCTGTGCCTCTGACCTGCACTCCAGTTCTTGTATGCATAAATAAATCTTTAAAAAAAAGGAAAAAGAAAAGCAGTCAGGCCTGATTGCACCATACTCAGAGCCATCCCATGCTTGGCTCATTCCAGTCCACCCTCTTCAGCCCTCCATCTGGACCACATTGATCACCCCATACACACCTGTAGTAGCAACAGAACAAACACACCCAGAGAGCTCCGAGATTGCCTGATTTCCTCCTGGAAAAACTCAGAAAAGAAATATCTGATTTGAGACACTGGAATGAGCTTTCCTGACTTTTATTTTTAAATAAGTTACAAATCACTTGCTAGTCCCCTCCTAGTTGTATATTCAAACAGACTGACCTGCACACAGCAAGACAAGGTGTAAGTTTTCCCATTGTTAGTGTTTTCTCCCAGATTGGTTATCATTATATGTCACAATAATAACTTCTAAGATCATACAGCTGGACCCTGCACTAGGCCATATATTATATGCAGATTTTTGTAAGCAGATGATGTAAACTTATAATATTGATAAACACAGAACAGTACTTTAAATATTTTCTCTTCCTTATGATTTTTTTTACAAAAAAATTCTCTTTATTGCAAGTATACAGTTTATAAAACATACACGATACAAAAAAAAAAAGTGCTGGAGAGGCCAGGGGTATTTGAACTTTGCACCCATGGACCCATAAGCTAGGCAGAAGAATGAATGGTCCAACTCCACCCCCTGACCAGTGACCCCCCACAAACCTGCGCAGAACCATGGTCCAAGCTCAGCCTCTCATGTCCTAAGTGAGGGGACTGCTGGGAAGAGGGAGCAAAGCTGAGTGGCCATTTTGTGAGCCTTTAAAAAAGGAGCACCACACTGCTCTCTTTTTCATCAGCCTCTGCTGCACCCTGCTGGCTCCTGGCTCCTGTAGCTTCAACTCCACCTCAGACCTTAGAAATCAATGGACCAACTGGACCTTCACCCTCTCGCTCTACCCTCCCTGTTCATTAGGATTTTTTTTTTTTTTTACTTCTTTTGCTGCACCAAGGGCCTTTTATTTGTACTTGTGGCATCTGGAGGCTGGACCCAGAAGCGGTAAAAGAGATTCTGACCTGGAGACAGTTTTTTAGACCATTTGTTAAGTAACAAATTCACTATTTGTTGTGCATAAGGCTTCCAGTCTACAGCAGGCTGTTAGCAGTTAAGTTTTGGGGGAGTCAAAAGTTGGGCATGGATTTTTGACTGCCCAAGGGTTAATACCTCTGACCCCACCATTGTTCAAGGGCCAACTGTATTTAT